TTAGCTGAACTGAAGTCCTACAACAAAGGATATACAGAAGAAGCCACATCAAGACTGGTAGGAGGGATGGACACGTGGAACAGGCTGGTCCCACACCTGCGTGTGACCGTTAAAAAACTATCTCAGCTGCAAAGATCCCTCTGAAGAGCAAGGGGTCCCAGCCCCACACCAGGCTCCCCAGCCCAGGGTTCCAATGCCAGGAAGAGAAGTCCCTGTAGCCTCTGGCTGTGAAAACCAGCAGATATTGTGGCTGAGTGAGACAGAGGGTGGCTGGAGTCCCAGGGTTCCTCTTTAAGGGCCCACACACAGACTAACTCACTGGCAGACTCACTTATTCTGGGGCAGCAGTTTAAGGAGTGCCAGGGGTGTACAGGGAAAAATTGAATTGTCTGGCTTCAGAACAAAGATTGGAAGGGAAGCATTCTCCCAGACAGAAGCGCTGACAGAAGCTATCATTTCTTTGTTGATACCTCCCCCATCCCAGTATGCAGATGCAGAGGGCCACCATATCTGAGTCTCCATCAACCTGGCTAACACCATTCACCACACTCTGGCGATTCCCTGAGATCCCGCCCCACCCAAGTAGCAGGTGCACTGAAGCCACATCCAGTGGCTTTTCCATACAAATGACTGGTCTTGGCTCATGCTGCTAACTTCCCTAAAATCTCTCAAAGGTTCATAAAGCCCAAATAAGCATCTAGCTTTGGCATGCCCCATACTTCTTGCTAAGCAGCCCCAACCCTGGCACTAGCAGCAGCCTGCCTCAGTTTGCAGCTTAGCCTCCCCCAGGAACCTCCAAGCCCAGCACAGGTGGAAGACATCTACAAATCATTTTGTGGCTCATGCCAGTGGCCCTGAGCAGGGCACTGGCTGTGGCTGAACTTGGCCTGCTACAGGGCCCCTCCCAGGAGGTCCTGGGGGCCAGCATGGCCAGTGACCAGCTTGACACCAAACTGGAGCACCACCAGGTCGCCTCCACAGATGACACACCCAAAGGGCAGACTGGGAAGGCACCAGAGGCCCATTAAAGTGAATCCTGCTCCATAAGGTCAGCCCCTGTACAACAGTTCCTCCACTGTAGTCAAGGCCACTCCTCACAACCAATCAGCCAGAGGGTCAATCCCTTCCACTGACATACAGACAGCAACCAACCACAACAGGAGGGAACACACAATGCACACAAGGGACACACCTGCAGCACCAGGCTCAAGTGACCAAGAAGACTGTGCTACTGGGCCCCACAGGACACCTACTACATAAGACCACTCTAATAAGTCCAGGAAACATAGCATTTCTACCTAATACATACAAACAAACACTGGGAGGCAGCCAAATGGGAAGACAAAGAAACATATCCCAAATGAAAGAACAGAACAAAACTCCAGAAAAAGAACTAAACAAAATGGAAACAAGCAGTCTACCAGATACAGAGTTCAAAACACTGCTTATAAGGATGCTCAATGATCTCAAGGGAGTACTTCAACTAAAAAATAGGAAATATAATAGTGGCGATAGAAAACATAAAAAACAAATTGGTCAGAAAGGAGGAATACAATAACTGAAATGAAGAATGCATTGGAGGGCATCAACATAGGTTAGATGAAGCAGAGGACTGAATTAGCGATTTGGAAGACAAGGTAGCAGGAAATATCCAATCAGAACAACAACAAATAAGAATCCAAAAAAATGAGGATAGTTTAAGGGGCCTCTGGAACAACATCAAATGTACCAACATTCACATCAGAGGAGTACCAGAAAGAGAAGAGAGCAAGAAACTGAAAACCTATTTGAATAAATAATGATGAAAAAAATTCCTCAACTTGGCAAAAGAAATAGATATATAAGCCCAGGAAGTGCAGAGAGTCCCAAACAAGATGAATCCAAACAGGCCCACACAAAGACACACCATAATTGAAATGGCAAAGGTTAAAGACAGAGAGAAAATCCTAAAAGCAGCAAGAGAAAAACAAGTAGTTATTCACAAGGGAGCTCCCATAAGAATATCAGCTGATTTCTCAACAGAAACTTTGCAGGCCAGACAGGATTGGCAAAAAATATTCAAAGTGAAGAAAAGCAAGGGCCTACAACCAAGATTACTCTACCCAGCAAAGTTACCATGTAGAATTAAAGGACAGATAAACAGCTTCCCAGACAAGAAAAAGTTAAAAGGAGTTCCTCACCACCAAACCAGTATTACAAGAAATGTTAAAGGTACTTTTAGAAGGAAGGAAGGAGGAGGAGGAGGAGAAGAGATTAAAAAATATGAATAATAAAATGGCAATAACTACATATCTATCAACAATTACTTTCAATATAAATAGATTAAATGCTCCAATCAAAAGACATAGGGTGGCTCAATGGATAATAAAACAAACACTTACATATGCTGCCTACAATAGGCTCACTTCAGATCTAAAGACATACACAAACTGTAAGTAAAGGGATGGGAAAAAGATATTTCATGAAAATGGAAATGAAAAAATTGAGCTGGGGTACTAATACTTATACCAGACAAAATAGACTTTAAAACAAAGGCTATAACAAGAGACAAAGAATGACCCAGTAATCCCACTTCTGGGTATTTATCCAAAGAAATCCAAAACACTACTTGGAAGGGACATGTGCATCCATATGTTCACTGCAGTATTATTTACAATGGCCAAGATGTGGAGGCAGCCTGGCTGTCCAATGGATGAATGTATAAAGAAGAGGTGGCACATATATACAACGTATATACATATATATGCATATTACTCAACCATTAAAAAAAATGAAATCTTGCCATCTGCAACAACATGGATGGACCTAGAGGGTATTGTGTTGAGTGGAGTAAGTCAGACAAAGAAAGGCAAATGCCACATGATTTCACGTACATGTGGAATGTAAACAAAATAAACAAACAAACAAAACAGAAACAGACTCAGTTATTGAGAACATCTTGATGGCTGCCATATGGGAGGGGGGTTGGGGGATGGGGAAAAAAGTGAAGGGGCTAAGAAGTACAAATTGGTAGTCATAAAATAGTCATGGAGATGTAAAGTACAGCATAAGGAACATATCGATAATATTGTAATAACTATGTATTGAGTTAGATGAGTACTAGATTGGGGTGATCGCTTTCTAAGTTATATAAATGTCTAATTACCATGTTGTATACCTGAAACTAATATAATATTGTATGTCAATTGTAATTGAAAAAAATTTAAAACCATGTATAAAAGAGAACTAGATCATTTATGAGAGAGAAAGTAGAGGAAAAGATTTGTTGGCATACAAAGACAATGCCATAGAAGCCATGGATGAAGATGAGAACTCTCTAGCAATGGCTAAGGGCCAACTAAAAGGAGACAGTCAACTAAGACTGAGAATAATCAAAGGGATAGGAGCTTTTACTAATTCTTTTTCCCTATCCAAAGGCATACAGAAGGAAATCAACTAAAAAATTAAAACCTACTATTTATGGCTATCTTACTATATTCCAGTGGCAGATCCAGAATTTCCAGATAGCTGGAGTTAGAGTAGTAATCTGTTTGAAGGAGGGCTTGAAGATATTTTTGCATTATTACTTCACAGTCAGTTAGAGAATACTAATTGTCGATATCAAAAAAATCAAGGGAAAGAGGCTTGAGGGAAATCTTTTCCCGCCTCTTTGGGACCACCACTGCTATACTCTAGGCATTGCACCAAACATGTTACCTAATCTTTCAATCTTCATACCTTTCTTTTTTTAATTTTAATTAACATTTTATTGTTTAGAGCAGTTTTAGGTTCACTGCCAAATTGAGCAGAAAGTACAATTTCCTTATACTCCGTCCCCACAAATGCACAACCTCCTCCACTATCCACATCCTCATATCTTTCATCCTCATAATAAGCTTATTAGGTAGGTAGATGAGGAAACTGAAGCTAGATTAGAATTACAACTTGTTCAGGGTCACAAATCACCTGTAACTCTCATCTGTGTTCCCATAGCTCTCACAGCTCTTTACTAGAGTTCCTCATTACTCATCCTGATATAATATATATGCATGCACCTCTCACTGTGTTGTTAGCTCCTCAGTGACAGGATTTGTATCATTCATTTCTGTATCCCTATAGCTAAGAATGATATTTTACAAATATTTTGTTGAAGTAAGCAAATGAAAGAGCTAGGTGAGAACAGCATCAAGAAAGCCAATGGAGAAAAGAATTTCAAGAAATGATCGTCAGTAGTGTCAAATGCTACAGATAGAGCCATCAGTATATCTTAAATCATCATTGGCATTGAACTGATATCCCTTATTCATTTAATGAACGCCTACTATATGTAGGACAGTGTTAAGCACAACGAACATGGAAAAATAAAATCTGGTACACGTCAAAAGGTTTTCAGGGATGCAGTCATATCTAAATTCTTCATCAGGAGAGCAAAACAGAGTCAGGCCTGCAAATGCCTAATGTAATTTGGCTCGTGTAAATCTGAAGACAACTTAAATGAGTCAATAGAGAATCTTTTAATAAAACTTCTGATGGGGGATAGGAGATGAAAAAGGGCCAGAGCATCTCAGTCTCAGTGACAACAGCCGGTGGCCGAGAAAGCCGACTCCCTCAGGAGTCTCTAACCCCCTAAGCAGGGCTGGGGCTGCCCGTAGCTGCCCCTAGCTGCCAGTCCCTAGTCTGGGGCGGGAAAAAGAAGACACTTACCGCAAAAGGCACCGCTACCGCCGTGGCCCAAAAGGGCCAGGGATTCCTTCGCGAGGCCCCACGCCGTGAGATAAAACAGAGGAAAGCGGGGATCAGACGGACAGGTGCGACCCCCCCCAGCCCGACCTCCCAAACTATATAAAGAAGGGCCCCAGAGCCCGGCGCAGCTACGCCAACTCCCACCAGCTGGAAGACCGACGACTGCCACCGAACCTTCCGCCCAATGAGGAAACGTCACCACTAGCCGTACTCCAGCCTTTCATGAAAAGGATACACTTCCGCTTCCGGGGCAGCCGTAGCGTCTCTTCACTACGTTTACTTAAGAGAGTTTATTTTTGTGTTTCTTTGCCTCCCCTAGCTTTTCCCATTCACTTTCTAGTGCTCAACAACTGCGGCACCAAAGTTTGTGGTAAGATAGGAGGCGATCTCAGGCAAGAATCCAGCCTCGAGGAGCCGCCTTAAGAAAAAGTGACTAAGCCGAGCCGGCCAGTTGGGCGGGGAATGATAAGAGATGGGGGTGCGGTTGCGTGTAGGGATTCCCCAGGCGCACGTGAGAGCTCCAAGGAGGGGGCGGGGCTTAGGGCTTTCGCAGCGAAGGAAGGAAGGTTCCACCGAGGGTCGGATCAGGTGTCGCGACCCGTTTGTGCCTGCGCGTGCGCAATGCGAACCTTCCTCTGCACAGCTTTCTGCTCCAACATGGAATTCCGTTCCGCGCGGCAAGCGATACTGCAACTGCTCCGTACCGTGGCTCCGACAGACCTCCCAGTGCTGCTCGAGTGGATGCGAACCACCCGTAAGCGACCGAGAGCCAGAGGCAGGCGGTTGGGGCAAGGATACTTTGGGGACTTAGGGTGAGGCCAGAAGCCCTCCATAGAGTCGCCGTCCTGGTCACTCTGCTCTGCTACCGGGCAGGTTGACAGGGGCTTATCTGAAACCTTGGCAGGTTCAGAGTCCAGTTGGGATTTGGTGCCGGTTCTGGGTTGTTTGTGATTGCGCTTCAGACTTCAGATAACCCGCGAAAGCCTCCTTGTGCCCAACGCCTTTTCTGAAGGAAAAACAGAAGGGAGGTAGCCCCCTCCACCCCCATTACTCCCACAAACTTACGACGACCAGTAAGTAGGATACTTAGCTACAAAAGCTCTTTGCAAGAGAAGTTTTAGGCTGTAGAGCTGGAAGCTTTCACCTTCAGGCAAAATCACCTGTAGCTAGGGCATTTATTCTTTCAATTGTAAAATGGACCATCAGTTTGATAGCGGTTTTTCCTGGATGGGGAAAGGAAGAGACAAAAGGGGGGGAAAAGACTTTGATTTTAAACTGTTAACAAAATTAGTAATAGTAATAGTAAAAAAGCACAAGTTAGAATCAAGGAAATGTGGTAGCGAATGGGATAAATCTATTTTAGCAAAGTGAAGCCTGGTGAACGCACAAGAAAATAGGATATTCCCTGTTTGAGACCTATGCCAAATCATACCTCTGTACCTCTAAATATTGATTCCCATGTTTATTTTCATTCAGACTCATGACTTGAAATATACCTTTTTGCTGATGACTCCCAATTTTAGACTTCCAACCCTGACTTCTTCCTGGAACTAACTCTCTCTATGAGATATTAGAGTCAATCATTAGGTTTGGGTATTACTATTAATGCACATTTTGGGGAACATTTTAAAGAAGACGCCAAACTAAAATTAACTTGGACATCTGATAGTGAGGTTTTAGCCTGGAAAGTAGAGAGAACCAGAGAAGTAGCTTCATATTTATGCACACATGCAAGATTCAAGATAGGAATTTCCAAAATATGCTGAGTCTCCTGTAACTTCATTTAAACCTTGTATTGCCAGTTTTACTCATCATATCCAAATTGTTTGTAAATCAGAGCTAATTTCCATTTTTTTCTACATTCGTAAACATGGGATCTTTTATTCCAGAAGTCCTGAATGTCTACAAAAATGTCGGCTACTATCTGGTTGTAACAATTGCACAATTACTAAAACATCCTAGCCATCAAGATTTCAGTTTTGTGGAGCCATTTGTAATCTAAATTTCCAGTTTTAGAGGCATCAAATGAGACTCCATTTTTCAAAATCAGGAAAATTTGAAGCATGTTTGGAAGATAATTTTGTAAAAAAGAAGACCCAATTTCACTAGCTAAAGAGTACATTTTTACTTTTTTAAAAAGGACTTTCTGTGCCTTTCTCTAGCAGCCCCTGTAGATAAAGAAGCTAAAGCAGTTTGTTAAAAGATTTAAGAAAACCTGAGTTTCTGAAGAATGTTTAACATAAATATTTTAAGAAATGAGAGTGTCACATAGCTTAAAATGAACAAATGTGTTTTAATGTACATCTTAAAAAGTAGTGTAATTTATTAGAATTCCTTTTATGAGTGGTAAAATATGCATAATATAACATTTTAACCATTTTTAAATGTATAATTCAATGGCATTAAGTATATTCACATTGTGTAATCATCACCACCATCCATCTCCAGAACTTTCTCATCTTCCCAAACTGAAACTCTTAATAGACCTTTTTATGAAGTAACTCAAAATACAGCACAAAAGATTCCATTTTTCATTTTCCTAATTTCCTTTCAGGGAAAAAATATGTTTTATTTCTAGCATTCAGTCACTTGCATAATATCTTACTTGTGTGACATTTGCTTAGACCTTTTATAATTATAATTCTCCTTGAATTTTCATACCATTTAATGGAATAGCAAGAGACAATAATAGCTGTTGAGTATAATTTTGGTTTTGAGTTTCATAGAGTTTATTGAAACTAACAAATATCTACATACTGCTAGCAGGTAAAATCAATCATTTTAGATACACAAAAGGAAGAATAATATTCTTGATCTCTGAAGTAATAACTGGATTATCACACCAAGGCCTGGGCTCATTTAGCATCAGGCTGGTAGAGCCAGAAGCTTGGACAGCAGAGCCAAGGACATGCCAATGTCTGAAATGAAGATCAGAGCCTACGTTTTACCTTGGTTGCAGCTTAGGCCAAGGTCTAGGAAACAAATGAACACTAATACAAGAAGGAAGAACCAAGTCTGAGGGGTAAGCACACAAGGATGCACCCCCCGCAAAAAAAAAAAAAAGTGAAAAATACAGCAGGACCTCAGTTCATTCTGGTCTTGTGGCAGAGCATCTGTTCTTTTATGGTTTCTTTATGTGAATCAAGTGAGCTCTTGATCTAGATTTCAAAGTGTAGGAGAGTGACTGCAATCCATTAAGTGAAGGGAGCTGAGAGCCAGAACTGCAAGTGAGGTCCCCAATAAGCATATATGTGTGTATATATATGTATATGTGTGTATATATATATATATACATACATATATATATATATATATACACACACACACACACACACACACACTCATTGGAACAGCTGTCTGCTAACAAATGCTATTCTGAAGCCTCTGAATTTTTCCAGGAATGCAAATACAAACGAAGAAGTAAACCAACAACCTATATGAGTTTCTATTAAGAATCAAGTTACAAAGGATAGAAAATTAGTGTTTGTTATAAGAAAATGAACAAAATCATCAAGAAATTATTTTAATGCTTAAGGAAGATAACAGTAGGTGACTAGAAGCTTTAAACACATGTTCACTGAGCAGAATTGGACATGTTGCTGAGCAGCAGTTACAGAGCTGTTAGAGGTTCTTTGAAATCCCCACAAAACAAAAAAGCAAACCCTGGATTTACTTGTATTTTTCAGACAGCAGACTGCTTCATTTCTATATTGTTTTACACTGAGGAAGTATCTGTATAACTTAAAGATTTTCCTATCTTTATAAAAAACCATATAAATTTGTAAAAGTTATCAACTATATGAGGTAATAGATTGTTTTTTCAAAAACAAGGGCCGGCCAAGTGGCGCGATGGTTAAGAACTGGCTTGGGATGCCAGAGGGCCCCGGTTCGGATCCCACATATGAGGGCCAGTGACACTGCCCTCCACAGCTAAGATGCTGAACAACAGCTCAACCTGGAGCTGGGCTGCTGTGAGTCACCGGCGACGGCATGGGCTGCAGCCCCTGTGGCAATGGGTTGCCATGGGCTACCATGTGTAGCCAGCAGCCAGCGTGAGTGGCCAGCAGCCGCAGTGAGCAGCCGTCCAGAAGCCGGCGACTGATGTGCCTCGCCCAGGAAGAGCGCAATGGTGGTGCCAACTTGGGCCAGTGAAGCAACGTCCTCCACAACTAGACTGAAGAGAAAAAGGACAGCAACTTGTCTGTTCCCCTTCCCCCAATTCCCCAGCACTGTTCCCATCCCCCCATTCCCCAATTAAAAAATATCTTAAAAAAAAAAATGTATACTGAGCAAATGACCCCTGAAAATTTTTCTATCAAATAAAAATAATTTTACTTTTCACATTTCTTGTATGTTTAAAATAGCCATGATATACTAAAAGAATAATGAGCTAGTGGGTTTATCCCAGGAATGTACTGTTGATTTAACATTAGAAATTCATTCAGTGTACGTAATTCACCATATTAACTAAGAAGAAAAACTATGATTATCTCAGTAGACATAGAAAAAGCATTTTATCCATGCTTTTCCAGCATCTCTTCCTGATGAAAACTCACCAGACTAGGAATAGAAAGGAACATTCTCAACCTGATAAAGGGCATCAATGACAAATCTACAGCTAACATCATACTTAATGATGAAAGACTGAATTCTTTCCCCTAAGATGAGGAACCAGACAAGGATGTAGAATCATCACTTATATTCAGCATCATAATCGTGCTTCTAGCTAGTACAACATGGCAAGAAAAAGGGAAGGAGGGAGAACATCTCAATTAGAAACAGATGAATGGCTACAAAAATTGTGGTATATCTTTATAATGGAATATTTGACAAATAAATGTTTATATGCACAACAACATGGATAAATGATGTTAAGAGAAAGAAGCCATACTAAAAAAAGAATGCATACTATATGATTCCACTTACATGCAATTATAGACAATGCAAACTAACCTATAGTGATAGAAAATAGATCTCTGGGGTCTTGGTGGATATGTGGTATTAGAGAAGAGTAGGAGAGATAAATGGACATGAGGAAACATTTAAGGATGATGGATATGTTCATTGTCTTGAGTGTAGTGATGGTTTTATGGCTGTATACATATGTCAAAACATAATTATACACTTTAAATATGTAGTTTAATGTATGCCAATCCTGTGTCTATAAAGCTGTTTTTTAAAAAATGGCTACAAGTTTTTGACCCTCATTCCATAAAAGGTCAGGTCTGTATTCTTTCTTCCTGAATCTGGGTGGGCTCCTGGACAGTTTTGGCCAATAGAATATGGCAAAAATGACACCATGTCAGTTTCAGACCCAGGACTTCAGAAAATGGCAACTACTACTTCCTGTCTTGGAATGCTTGCTCTGGGAGAAGCTAACCATCAAGTATGTAGTCTGACTACCCTGAGATTGTCATAATGTCAAGAAGCCCTAGCTATCTTATGGAGAGCAAGATGCCCAACCAGCCTGTAATTGTTCTGCCATCCTAGCCTAGACAGCAGATATGGGAGTAGAGTATCCAGCCAGCCCATCAAGCTTTTATTACAAATAATGTTGCTGTGAACATTTACATCAGATTTTGGTATTAACAGAACTTTTCGTTTTTCTGTGATAATGTCCAAAAGTGTAATTGCTGGGTTATATGATAAGTGCATTTTTAGTTTTTATGGAGGCTGCCAAACTATTTTCCAGAGTGCCTGTACCATTTTACATTTTCATCAGCAATGTATGAGTAATCTAGTTTCTTTGCATCC